TCCAAGAAATTAATTTTATCAAGTTTGAAAATCAATGCGCAGTTTTATTTCCCGTTTACATTGATAGCTCATTGGTTGATTACCAATGAAATACCGTCAATTCTTTAATGTTGATTGAATTATATCAATATAAGTTGTGATACACAATGATTGAACCAAGCACGTCAGTATTATGCGACTCGTCAGCTAGAGATACTTGAGTCTCACAATTGATGTTCACTCTGGAACTCGAATGCATGTGGATTAATGAAATATCGAGGCAATATACACAGTATGCACATATACCAATAACAGATTGATCAATTGCAGTTTTAAGCATCAATTGGAACATACAAGTAAACAACACCAAGTGAATTTCAACTTCACTCCATTGCACAAATATGTGGTTATCAGAATTCAGTAGCTAAGTGGATAACGTGATGACGTTTGAAGTGAACATTACTGGATTCGAGTCTTGGGGTGAACATTAACTGTGAAATATAAGTACATCCATCTGACGAGTTTAAAATAGGATGAAACGCGTGTCTTGTATTTCACTGCTGTCCACTATCTATCTTTGCTTATAATGCTCATGGATTAAGGTAATATAGAGGTAAAATACACACTATGCATATATACCAATAAGAGACTAATCAATTACAGTCTTAAACATCAATACGAAGATTCATTTTCTGTTCATAATGATCTAAATTGAATGTCATTCATTTGAATGAATGTGTAGAAAACGTTTGCACACTAGTTTTAGTACCCATTAATCATTTGAGAACAAAAAAAATTAAAAAAAAGAACATCAAAACTACATGATGTTACCTTTTTAATTGTTATAAAATAACACAATGTTTTACTGTCAGTTATGTTTTAAGTATCCTGGTCATTAAACCAATGACTGATCGATGGTTTTCCAATACATTAAGAATTTAACTTTTACTTATAACACAATAAGAAGAATTTTGGTTGTTTATACTAAATTTTCTTCAATAAAACATTGAAATCAATCTTACAGTGTTACAGTTTTTTGTCATTAGCGATAATCAGTGAAATTAGTGAAAAGAAATACTGTTGAATTATTCATGAGTCAGTTAGTCAGTCAGCTACAACGTACGATCATGCACATATATGCATCGGTTCAAGTTGCCATACCGCATTAACACAACAAGATGAACACCAAATTCATCAATGTTGTCACTTCGATGGTAGTAATGTATTAAAGAAAGATTGTGTATCAGGATATAGTAAAGGAAGAAAACATTAGTTGGTAGAAAGAAAGATATGAAGCAATTTTAATCTCATAGTTTAAAGGAAAACAGAGAGTGTATACACTTACTCTATTGTGATCAATTCTGAGCCATGTCACCAAGAGTCTCTAACTGTTGGTTACGATAGTCATGTGGATCCCAACCAAGTAGTCTGCAACTACCAACATAGCTAAGATCAGAATTTGGTGACTTCAAGGGCTGATGTTACGTTTTGGTTTGGCCGCTCCTAACTTTCTCCCAACCATCCTCAACACTAGTTAACATTGCGTGTCATGTTAATCGGTGTTCAGGCATACGCATCATGTAGCCCAACCGTCTCAGTCGATGAAGATTCACAACCTCATCAACTGATTGGCCGTCATTCCCTAACACCCTGCGTCTAACTTCACTATTACCTACTCGGTGATCCCAGCAGATGCGAGCAATGTTTCTAAGATATCTGTGGTCAAATTCCAGTAGCTTACTAATATCTTCTACTCTTAGTGGGCACGTTTCACAGCTGTAATTTAGAACAGAACGAACTGCCGCGTAAGGTACTCGTTCCTTAATTGATAAACGGATAACTCGCTTTTGTAAGTTGACAAAAGCCAAACGAGCTTTTCGGATCCATGCTGAGATTTCGTCAGACACCAACCCATTAGGGCTGACCAGACTTCCAGGATAAGTGAAGTTGTCAACGCGTTCGACTGCTTCACTCCCTATCCTTAGTTCAGGTGTTGACGCAGGCCAGTCAATTGTTTATGATATTGTTAAGAATAGTAGAAAAGGTTTGCTTTTTAATTAGGAGAATAATTTCAATGAAGTTGTATTCTGTAAATTTAATAGTTTAGGGAAATTTAGATGTTTTTAGACGAGCTATCAGTTGATTGTGAAGGAATTCTAATACATCACTTTAGTCTATCGTTTGTGACGTTGATTTTGATCATAGAATGGTCAGTGAGAGCATGATGTTTAGATCATCCAAATTAAATAACACCAATTCACATCTTTGGATGCAGAGTCAGTGATCTAGAGGTTAGGCGTCCGCGCTCAAGGGTGTCGAGGAAGAACCAATACTAGGACGAAACGTCCGTCCAGTGATTCTAGGTTTTCATTAGTGGTCTAACTTAGATAGATTCATGGTTTCAATCAAATGCACTAAAATGTTATTGCTTTTAAGCATCACAATGAAATATGGTTTGTATTTCATACAGGGAAAGTATCAGACAACATTCTGCCTAATGAGAATATGATAAATAATTGATTTAGCCTAAATAAGTGTCATCAATCAAGTAATTTAATGATAACATCTATGACCATTAGGATCTCTTATACTGGTTCAGATTCTATAGAGTATTAATTGGCTTAAGATTAATCCTTACTAATGAGACTTCAAATTTTTTCATAGAAGTAATCTAGATGTCTTCATGTTTTCACACAGTGATTCAATGTAGAATCGGATTTACTGCGCAGCATCTCGTTCTGTCCTAATTTATGGCAATGAAACATGACCGGTAAGAGTAGAGGATATCCGTAGGTTACTAGTATTAGATCATATGTGTCTTCGAAGCATTGCTTGTATATCCTGAGACCACCGAGTAAGTAAAGCAGTTGTTAGAAAACGGGCACTAGGTAAGTATGACAAATCAAGTGATGAAGTAGTAAAACTTAATCAGTTGACATGGCTGGGACACGTGTTACGTATGCCCAACCACCGACTGCAATGACGTGCAATGTTTCATGATGTAGGAATAGGTTGGGAGAAAACTAGGGACGATCAGATCAAAACATGGCACAAATCCATCAAGTCACTGACAAGTGCACTGTGTGAATCATGTTGGTAGGTGTAGACTACCTGGTTAGGTTCCGCGAGATGATAGCAACCGATGGTTAGAGACCTTGAATGACATGTCTCAAAATCGTTTGTAATGGCTCAGGTGCATTCACTCTTTGTATTCTCCCAAATTCTAATCTTCTCAATTCTTCATGTCCCTTTCTTCTTTTTCCTCTTTCCAAATTTATTTCACTTTATTATACTCCTTGAATAACATCTTCGAACCTCAACCTTTCCGATTACTGCTTATACTCTTACAACACCTCTATCACTATAGGATTTGATTCGACAATTGTATCTGTGTGGTATGGCAACTCGAACTGATGTAGATACGTATGACGTTCTACGTTGTTACTGACTGACTGACTGACTGAGAATCTGATAAGAATTGTCAATCCATTTAACTGTATGTTAAGTATGACCGAAGTTTTTAAACAATTAAAATGCTGTTAACTGATATGATTGCTCTTTCTATCACGAAAATGTTCTTAAATTCTAATAACAGATGATAGGGCTGAGATTTCTATTTTTTTTTTGAAAAATCTCCAAGGCAACAACTTACGACTTATATGAACTCATAAAGGAAGAAATGATAGGTATACTTTTGTAAGGAAAGATCGATCAACTGTGTATTTGATGTACTTGTCTTTTGTCTTTAAAATTGGATTGACTATGATTCCTAAAGAAAAGTTACGCATTATTGTTTCAGTAAAATTATAAAATTTGCATTTGATTAGGCTACAATTTATCTAATGGATAATTAAAAACCATAAAAGAACTAAGATATCTATCGTAGATCGGTCTTGAAGTGTTGGGCGATTTCTCGGACCAAACGCTGGAATGGAAGTTTACGAACCAAAAGTTCGGTACTCTTCTGGTAACGAAGGATTTCTTGGAGTGCAACAGTCCCAGGTCTGTACGTATATAGCTTCTTCACGCCTCCGGTTGCTATGGCACTTTTTCGCGCTGCGTTGATGGCCAGCTGCTTTCGAGGTGCCTTATCTCCGGTTGATTTACCAACAGTCTGCTTGGTTCGTGTCATTCCGAAACACCTTACCCGTAATTCAAATGAAAACCAAACTGGATTTTTTTTCCGTATGATTTTTTTGATGAAATTTCACCTAGAAATCGACTCAAGTGTTCTGAAAGATAAATTAACATCTTGGGTCATGTTGCGTATTCATTCAGATATAGAATTTCAGTGGGCAGATACATAGATTTAAATGTATCAATGAATTGATGATATTGTTGTGTTCTAAATTCAAAGAGAATTGTATGCTACATACATGTAAATCCGCCCTGTTATTGATCTGGACTCTTACATATTTATACATTACGTAATCGTTAATTTGCTTGAATTTCAATGGTGTTCAAGCTAAATTTAATCTTGTCTTATTGACACCAATATTATTATCAGTACTGGCATTTGTTTTCCACTTAAATGGTTTAACTATTAACTGAAGTGAATTTAAAGTATAGTTGAAAACTACAATTCACTTGGTACCCTTTATAGACTGCTTTTCACCTCTTCAAATGTTTAAAAGTGAATAAGATATTTGAACCTAGTTCAATCACATCTTATTGTAAGCTCATTCATTTTGATAGAAGACTTCTATCTGAAGTTTGTGTTAATGATAATGTCGTTTGGAAGAACAATGAATGCTCCACGACTAAACCAACCAGCTCATAAAACAAAACTCCATCAAAATCATCCACCTGAGCTACAAATTTTCTCCACTATCTCAAGACCATTGACCCTCCATGATTTTTTTTGAATTCCAAATTCTATTTTTTGTTTTTGGCATTAAATTTCGTCAGAGAGTTTAATGTGATAACATTGTTGAACCATTTAAAGTTCCATTTATTATTTGCATTATAAAGATCATCAGAAGTTTCAACTGAATATTATTTCATTTCATGTTTCATTTTAGCCTTCAGACTATAAAACCGAAACAAATCTACCTTTAAATATTCAACCAAATAATATACCGGCTACTGTAAACTCATCTCAATTTCCATCTTCATCATCATTATCATCATTTTATGATCAACCAACTACACTTATTAAAACATATGGAGATGATGCTGGTGATAAATGGACAGTTTATTATCGTAATCCAAATATTCCTAATGTTCATATTGAATCAATAGATGATAATAATAATAATAATAATAAAACAACTCAATTACATGATCATTCTATATTAAATCAATCTAATTCATATAAAACACTTTCACAATATTCAAACGAATATTCTTCACAAATCAATAATCAATTATTAATACCCGATCAAAAAGATGGAATACCATTAAAACAAATCAATAAAATAGTAACTATGGAAAATATCACGGATATATCTAAAAAGAAACGTAAAAAATATCGATTTTATTCAATAAAACAAACTGAATATCTTATTGAAGCATTAGAATCATTAACAAATTCTATAGAAAAGAATAATATTAATCTTGAATTAGAATTAAAGGATATTGATTTAGATAATAAACAATCATTATTGATGTTACAAAATACCGATATTAATTTACATAGAAATTCATCATTAACAACTAAATTACGTCCAAAAAGTTTCAATACAAAATATGGTATTATTAATCGTCATGAATATAAACGTAAATCAGCTGGTTTAAATCATACAGATGAATTGAATCATAATCGAATTGAAAAGGTAAGCATATATATGTATATATCAGAAGAGGTTTGTGGAGATTTTAGAAATTTCACAGATGGGAATCATGAGTCAGTTGAAGCTAGATCACCATGGAAAACCTGGAAGCATTGGACGGCCGTTTCGTCCTAGTATGGGACTCCTCAGCAGAGGAGTTCAACCAGGTCTGTTGTGAGATATCAGCTCACTGAAGACAATGGTATACGGTGACGCAACCTAGTGGATTAGTTGAAGTTAGACATTGACACCGTTGGATACCGGCCGAGTGGTCTAATGGTTAGGTGCTCGCGTGCGAAACAAGTAGGCCCCGGGTTCGAGTCCCGCGGGGCGCGGGATCGTGGTTGAGCACTGCTGAGGAGTCCCATACTAGAGCGAAACGGCCGTTCAGTGCTTTCAGGTTTTCCATGGTGGTCTGGCTTCAACTGTCTCATGATTTCAATCTGTGATATATATATATATATATATATATATATATATATATATATATATATATATACATTAATTAAGATTACTTATTTAACTAATAAAGTATAATGTCAGAAGAGTTTGTTTTGTGTGGATATTATAATAGATCACCACCATGGAAAATCCTGAAAGCACTGGGTTGCTGTTTAGTCCTATTTTGGGACTTCTCAGTGGCAGTGCTCATCCACGATCCCGCCTCGCGACACTCAAATCAAGGACTCATCAGTTTTGCGTGCGAACGCCTAACCTTTAGAATACTGAGCCGGCTGGCATTCAACAGTGTTTATGTCTAACTTCAACTAATCTAAAAAATTGAGCAACACATTCACCATTGCCTTCAGTGAGTTACTATCTGACAACAGACTCGGTTGAACTCCATCGGTCACTACTTCTCACTAGAACTCCAGGATATACTTGTTGAAGTCGGTCACTAATAAGCATATGTTGATTAATATCGGAAGGGGAGTTTGTGGATATTATAGTAATTTTTTAATAGTTGAGTTCATGAGTCAATTGGAGCTAGATGACCATGGAAAAGTTAATGTTTAAAATGTAATATTAGAGATGATAGAGAAGATTTATAGCTGAAGTGAATGATTCTGATGAAGTTTTATTGTTTGAGCTGAATGGTTTGGTTGTGGAATTTGTCTTTGTTCCTCTGAACGGTGTTACCAGCAGCATTAACTTTAGGTAGAACTTCTATCTGATAGAACGAAACTTCATCAACAATGTAATATTAGATTAAGAGAAGTAAATTTTTCGTTAAAAATATACCATTTTCAAATTTATCATTTGCTAATTAATGACTAACGTTGACAGGTAATTACTGGAACTCTTTTGGAAAAACTACGATCACCGGAATTCAGTCATGCGGAGCATGAAACAGTTATCTACCAACAACTTTAGAAGGAGGCTGAGTTAATTGTAGTTAGACATGTAAATTCTTGGATGGCAACTCAAAAGTCTGTAGTTTAAGCGTTTGTCATGAGACCTGAGGTTCACGAGTTCAGTCTCTGACATGATCAAAGAGGTGTAATATTGAGGATTATCATATACAGAAACAACATTCCCTAATGTTTTTCAACGGTGATTTGGCTATATATGTCAACAACTGAATCTTAAGTGAAAAAAGTATTGTTTGGTTTAAGTACAATTAATTTTGATTTTTAACACGAAGAATAATTATTTCCAGTTTAAGTCGGTTGTTGAAAGCGACTGGCTTATTAGTTGGAAACATAGTCTCAAGATAAATAAGGCTCTTTATCAAGAAGCACCAATGATGTTAAAGGAACTAACATCCTCCGTGTGATTTTAACTTACATTACCCAGTATCATGATTGGAGTAATTTTCACTGAGTTACTACATCTATCTCTAACCTTTGGTAAAACTAGAACATTTATGATGGAGTTTTGTTCTATGAGCTGGATGGTTTGTTCGTGGAGCTTTCATTGTTCTTCTGAACGACATCATCAGCGCAAACTTCAAATAAAAGTGAAGTCATGATGAAAGCTCCACAACCAAACCATCCAGTTCAAACAACAAAACTCCATTAAAATTATTCACCTGAGCTACAAATCTTCTCCACCATTTAGGGCATTTATACTAAATGAAGATAAAATGACCACGGTCATACTTATGAACTCCTAAGTATTGACCGAACTTTAACGACCAAATTAAATGGAAACAATGTTTTTCCATATAGGCTTAAGCCTACTATACATTAAAAACTAGACATACATCACATTTGTTGCAACTTAGTGATTGACATCAGTAGCACACCAATAACATTTATATCTTCATTTTGTATTACTGAAAAACCCACTGTTTTTTTTAAACGACTATTTATATTCACTACACAGTTTAATGAGCCGTGTAATTTCTACCACCGAAAACAGACGATTTAATCAATTTTCATGATTATGCAACATAACATACAATAAGTTTCAGAGTTCATATTTATGTACCCAGAAAGATCTATACTATCGTCTGTTGAGATGGGACACGTGTTACGTATGCCCAACCACCAGACTGCAACGACGTGCAATGTTTCATTATGTAGGAATAGGTTGTGAGAAAACTAGGGGCAGTCAGATAAAACCATGGCACAAATCCATGAAGTCACTGACAAGTGCACTGTGTGAATCATATTGGTAGGTGTAGACTACCTGGTTAGGATCCGCGAGATGATAGAGAGACCTTGAATGACATATCTCAAAATCGTTTGTAATGGCTCAAATGCATCCACTCTTTGTGTCCTCCCACATTCTAATCTTCTCACTTCTTCATGTCCCTTTCTCCTTTCTCTTTCCAAACTTATTTCACAGTATTATACTCTGAATAATATCTTCAAACCGTAATGTTTGTGATTATTGCTTATACTTTCACTACTTCTATCACTATGGGATTTGAACTGGTAATTGTATGTGTGTGTTAATGTGGTATGGTAACTCGAACTGATGTATGCACGTACGAAGTTCTATGTTGTTACTGAATGACTTACTGACTGTTTAAAATACTCCGAGTTACAAAATAATAGTGTAGCACTACACAATTCGTAGATTTATACACCTTAATTTTAGTAGACTGAATAGTGTCACAAGAATATCAAATACTACTTAGTTTCAGCAAAGATGTTCAGTCTTTTTTTCAAACTACTAACAAATTCAAAAAGCTTCATAAATCTTGTAGGCGGTGTTGTACAAACTGTTTATACAATCCAAAGGAGATTTTCATTCAGAACTTGTACCAGTTTAACAATTGTTCGAAAAGAAATGATAACTCGATTTCTTTGATCTATTTTGAATTGGATAAAAAGCGCTTATTTAAGTTTCAGTAAAGGTTCATAATGAAAACTATACTAAGCATCAGGTATCTCTCAGGATAACTGATAAGGAAATTCTTATTCTGAAAAATATGGTAAGAGTTTTGTTCTCTGAGCTGGATGGTTTGGTCGTGTTCTGACGTGAGTATCCTTTGTAGCTTCATCTTTTGGTCCTCTATGACGTGTTGATATTTGCGGATCCTGTAGTGTGCATCCGTTATCATTAAGTGTACCATTTTTCTTCCGCTTTGTTCAGCTATTTTCTATCCTAATGGGCAGTTGATTGGAGGTCGTTATCTTACATTTGTTGGTAGAACATGCTGGCGAAGACACTCACAGAGAAAATATAGTTGTTCTCGAGTGGAAGCCTGTCTTTTGGCGAAATTCTCCTATTTTGGAACAACGAGAAGCGTAATATGTCATGGTATTGTGAAATTATGGTATTTTGAAGATTTCTGATTATATGAGTTAAATGGATTATTATTTTTGTCTCATTTTGACTGTACAAAATATTTCAATAGGTTGCTAGTGAGAAAAATACAATGTCACAGTTTAGTTGCCAAGTTGTTAACACTTCTAGATTTAAATGTATGGATTACAATCTTCAATTTAAACACTGGTCTATTGAAATTCAGGTAAAGGAAAACTGTAAGTCTTAAATTTGATGGAACGAAGATACGAAGTTCAGATAAAAGTAAAAACCATAGAGTAGATCATTTCTAAACTAAAAAAATATAACATCAATAACTAAACCAATTACTTTCTGCTTCCTTACGCCTGTAACTTCCAATGGAGCATATGCTGCTGACCAGCATTCTTCAACCCACTCTGTCCTCAACCTTCCTTTATAGTTCTATCCAATTGTTGTTCATTGTTTTCATATCTGTCTCCATTTCTTGACTTAATATTTTCCTTTGTTTTCCTCTTCACCTCTTCCTTTGGCCTTGAGGATTCCATGTGAGGGCTTGCCTCAATGTGTGTCCTATCCACTTCCAGCGCTTCTTCCTGATTTCTTCGTCCACTGGAATCTGGTTTGTTCTCTCCCATAGTTGGTTATTGCTGAAAAAGTCTGGCCAACGGACCCGAAGTATTTTGCGTAGACAATTGTTAATAAACACCTCATCATTTTCATTATATTTGTGTGTGGGCTGTGATACTGCCCGGGTGCCCAGACCGAAACAGGTGGTTTTCTCAGAAGGCCACACCCGGAGCCTTTGACCTAAAGGTCTAACCCGCAAGGCAGTGGAGCATCGTGAGGAGATGCAGTCCCATGGTAGCCGGTGACCAACCATTGGTTCATACGCTATTTGTTCCCTCAGAATACTGGGGCCATTGTGCACCATTGGTTTGGGATCCGGGTAAAGCACCGGAAATTCGCTTTTCGTCCTCTCATTTTCGTAAACAACAGTAATGCCACGAGAAGGCAGTGAGTAGGACTTCCCTGGCAGAGGCTATATACGCGTGGCTATATGAGAGCATTTCGAGAGGGAGGGCGGACCCACCCCACTCTCGGCCATATATATTTAGTGCCCTCTTGTGCCAATATTTATGTGTAATAAATAAATAAATAAAATAATAAACACCTGTATCTTCTGGATGATGGGTTTCGTAGTTCTCCAGGTTTCCCCCATACAGTAGAACTGTGTTGACATTCGTATTGAAAATTCTGAGTTTGGTGTTGGCTTACAGACAGTTGTTTTGAGTTGCAAATGT